ATGTCTGACAGATGAGGAAATTGGGTAGGGAGGGGAAGTGCCTTGTCCATAATCAAACAGACACAGTTGCAGAGTTGGGCACAAAACTGTGGCTTCTGGGCTCCCAGTCCCTTCATCTAGTCATTGTACATTAAATGTTGTATTCGCTGAAAACGTGTGGCTAGTTTTTGTCAGTTGCATTCTGGGTCCGACTGGTATCTGGCAAAGGGCACACGGAGGACTGCATTTCTGGCCGATGCCAACCAGCCTTTTGTGCTTTTCTCACGGAGATAAAGGGGAACTTGTGCTGTAGTTCCTTGTTGTGGCAGATCATTTTGATGCTCCAGTCCATTGGTAGTGAATGCTATGGGCCCTCCTGCTTAAGGGTTCTGCCTTGGGGCTCAGTCCAACTTTGTGTCTTGCAGTGAGACATTTCCGACTGTATATGAGCTGAATTGGAGGATACATAGTTCTCCTCTGGGATAGGATGAGTCTGCTGGAAGGACAAGGGGAACTTCATGAAAATGATACTATATTCAGATCAGGGTAGAAGCAAAAAAAACAACCCAAACCACCTCATGTCCAAAAAAATCCCCCAATGTTCAGTTGTTTGAGGAACCAGTGTGTTTGAGCTCTGTAAAACCCAACCGTTCTGTCCCTGAGTAATTGTTACTTAGTTTGGCTAAGCCGAACCCCCTTCTGAAGGCTTCTGATTTATTCATGCCACATGATCAGGGATCCTACAAATCCATTTGCCATGGAAAAAACACGGAATTTGCATTTTTATGGAGAATATTTTTTTACATTTTGCGCACAAATGAAAATGGCTACAGCAGACCCGTTTATATAAGCCTCCATTGTTAATGCAGAGTTAATACAGAGAGCTGGAGAATGGAGGTTTGGATAAACGGGGTTCTACTGTACATCAGTAAAACATGGTGTCCAACAGATACCTGGAAAAGTCAGCGTTTCATTTTAATCACAGGAAAATGTAGCTTTTGGGGGGGCTTTTATCAGAGGATTTTGGTTATTTCATCACAACAGAGTAGGATCCCAGTGTATGATTTACTGCTCCCGTTCTTTGGCTTCGAGGTGATTTACTCCTGGCTGAGTTGCTATGGCGACTTTATTGCGCAGGTGCTCTTCCTCTGGCCCATGTGATGTAGCGCTGTTCTCTTCAGCTCCTTCGTATGGTAGAGCTCGGATTAGTGCAGCAGAGCAGCAGCAGGACTCTAAGCGTGTGGGCTTAGAGCGAAGCCTGTTGGATGGGTATTTAAGTGCCTGGGTGATGGGGGGCTTCCCAGATAGGTCCTTGTGTGCCAGTGAAATGATACGTGGCAGTAGTTAGAGACAGGACTTGGAGTCGGGACCCCTGGGGTTCTGTTCCCAGTTCTGAGGAGAGGGTTATAGAAGAGGACCGGGGATGTATGTATCTGATTGCACAATGAAGCAGCCATTCTCACTGCAGCATTGACGAGGGGCTGGTTAAGCAAGTGCTAGACACTGTGAGTGAGGAGAGGAAGACTGTTGATTGTTTCTCTGACATGATCTCAGTCCTCTGGCAGGAGAGAGTCTGGGAGGGCGCCAGTGACTAGGAATGAGTATTGAATTTTTCCCTTCTGGGGTCCTAAGTTGCATCCAGCCCTGGTTGAGCTGACTGAAAACTCTTTCCATCTTGTAGTCCCCGTGAAATGAATCTCGTGGAGCTCCATCCAGCTCCTTTTGCACAGTGGTCATATTGCCCAAACCACCATCCCAGCTGGTAGTCTCTCTGGGAAGCCTGGGACTGAATGAAACACCGTAACTGAATTCTCTCCTCTGTGCACTGAAGCACACAGGTGCAGACAGTGGGAGGGAAGCATGACCTGCGGGCCCTTGTGCAGTCCCTGGTCTGTGCACAAGTGGCTTCTGTCTTGAAAGCTGTTGATTGCAGCAGTGTTTAATTGCGCTCACTTCAGTGCTCAGGGCAGGGGCAGTGAGCTGAGCCCTGTGTGTCCCCTCAACCTAGGAGCTGAGCCTGCTGCTGGTAGCTTCTGGGGCGCAGCGTAGTCTGCAGTGCCTGCACATGCAGGAAGCTGCCTTAGCACCTCCAGTGGTCACCTGATCCCCCTGCAATAACGAGACCCAGCGCCCGACATTCCACCATCCAGGACTGGGTCACAACCCATAGTTTGAAAACCACTGCTCTCTGCCGATTGGAGAGAGCTCTCCTGTTAGCACTGGGGTGGGCAATCATTTTTGATTGGGGGGCCACTCCAATAATTTAGGAGGGGGAGGGGTCGAGGGCTACACTCTAACATGATTTTAAAGGAGGAGGTGTGTGGTCTGGGATGGAGTTTGGGTGCAGAAGGGAGCTTGGGGGAAGGGAGGGAGTTTGGGGGAAGAAGGCATTTGTGAGCTGGTGTGCAGAGGGTTGGATTGTGACCTATGGCAGGGAATGGAGATACAGGAGTGCAGGGATTTGGGTTGTGAGCTACGGCAGGAAGGGGACTGTGATCTTGGGCAGGAGATTGAGGGTGCCGGATCTGGGAGAGGATATGGGTACAGGAAGGGGGGCCAGAAGATTTGGGTTTGTGGAGTGGGGGGGCAGAGGGTTGGGGAGGGAGGGACTGGGGTGCCAGAGGTAGGCTCTTCAGGGAGACTTACCAGTCAGCAGCAGTTCTTGAATTAGCATCCCTGCCTGCCCCACCCTGGCACAGGTTACAGCCATGTGCCCTGGAGCCCCTTGTGCTTCGTGGCTGCCTGTTATTGAAACAGGCAGCTCCCATTGGCCAATTTCTAGCCAGAAACTGGCCAATTGGATTGTGCTGGGGGCAGAAGGCACCTCCAGACTCTCAGTTTTTAAAGAAAAAACACCCCGCAGCCGTGTTTGAGCGGCCTGCCGGTAGGGCGAGGCAAGTGGGGAGCCTGTCTGGGGCTCCCCGCAGTGCCCGTGGGCTGGATCTGATGGCTTTGTGGGCCTAATTTGGCCCACGGGCTGTATTTTGCCCAGATCTGCGTTAGCATAATAAAATCACACCCATAAGAGTAGCTGTGTTGGGGGAGGGAGAGGGAAGGGAAAACACCTGTGTTTGGAAAAAGGCTCAGGTTGGTGTAACGGGGATGGCTCATTCCCACCCCACATATATAACTTAGAGCAATGCGAGAGGAAGTGGGTATAAGCCTCTTGACTGGCCGGAGATCACACAGGAAGTCTGTGATAGAGCAGGGACTTGAGCCCATCTTTAGGCTGGTACCCATACCATTATGCACAAAGTACTCCCACCTTCCTGCAGTGCTCAAAGCATTTGAGCTTCCGTTGTTTTGCAAACTCCTCTTATCCCAGAAGAGCCTGAATAAAATGATCTAGAAACCCTGGCTGCATAGAGCTTTGAAGAGAATTTTAACTACAGCACTTAACACCCTGGATTAGAGTGTGACTTGACCTTGCCTGTGCCAGTTTGAGCCTGTCCGTTTCTTAAGCACCCTCTGAAGCCCAGTTTTTTAGGCTTGGTTCAGAATCTTGAATCTGATTTGTTACACAATCTTTTGAGGGATGTTCCTCTAAGTAAAAGTTCAACAGAAGGTAATGGATCCTTTTTCATTTCAGTGCTGGGGAGAATTTGGAAGGACAGAAAGCTAAGTACAGGGACTGCATTTAAAGCAGGCTGGGATAATTCTGTAGAAGTACTTGTGGCTTTCCACACTAATATGAAAATCCATTCTCACGCTCCAGGAGGGAGATACAGAATTGCCGGAGGGCGTTGTTTGAGAAGAATTCTCTTCCTCCCATACCATGGGCTGCATTTCACAGCTTTTCTTTTGCATTCCTCTGGAACATCAGGTGCTGGCCATGGCCAGAGGCTCAGGGTATGGGACATGATGGACAATTAGTCTGATAGCAGTTCCTATGTGGCAAGAAAATGAATCGAGGGCGGAGGGGAAGTAGGGGGGAGGAGGTGGAGATCTACATTTTGTCACCCTGACTTCAGTTGGATTGGAACCAGCGACTCTGAGATTAAAGGATTTTCTCATCACCCTATCCCTGAGCTGTCTAACTCTGTGCCCAGGCCCTTCCAGATTTGTATTTTGGGCAGTCTGTGTAGTTAAGAGAAGGGGGACCCATCCCTTCAGATGAGATGTGCACTTTGTTGGGTGCACTTTGTTGGGAGCCTGCAACCCAGTTCCAGTGCATCTGGGTTGATGAACAAGGGATGCAGCGCGGACTGTTTATACAAGTGGATGTTTTAGATACCAAACCCTCACAGAGACTCTTCCGTTGGCAACATCTATGGAGGCTTGCTGCTAAATTTGCTTCTTATCTTGGAGAAAAGCAGACTCCTCTTTTCTCCCCCTTCCCCTCAGCCCCACCCTGAACTGGGAGAGAAATCAAAACAGCTATGTTTGGGTGGATTGATTTGACTACAAAAAATTCCTTTAAAAACTGGTTACCAGGCGTAGTCTTTTATCTCTTGGTCTCTTGGGCAATCCTTGGAACAGGATTTCAGCCGGGGTTTACTGTCCAGCGGCGGCTGTTGAGACAGCAATAGCATTCTCAGTTTTTAGAGACTACTTAGACTAAATCTACAGTGGCACATGACAGCTCTGTAACTTTCTCACTTAGCAGTGTGAACCCCCCCCGCAAGTTACAGTGCTGTAAAGTGCCAATGTGAACTAGGCTACTGCACTGGGAGTCGTGTTCCTTGTGCTATTAGCTGTTCCACTCCTGGAGTGGTTTACATGGAGTGCTGGGGGAGAGATCTTGTGCAGTGGCCACACTTTCAGTGTACTTGGAAGTGTAGCCCAAGCCATGGTGTCAGAATTTTAAGCCTTCAAGCCTTAGAATCTATTAAACCTGCTTCCTGATGTGAGGATCGACTTTCCCGTGCTTAACTGGAACAATACACGTTATTCATTGTAAAGCTTTACTTCCCTAATCTTGGGCCTCCTTGAATTTGTGCTTTAAAGTTGAAAGCAAAAAGTTCCTCTTCCAGGGACGTATCTAGCAATGAGATTGAGTGGGGGGAAGATGGAGAATTGTAGTTCTCATGTATAAAGCCTGTTTTGAAAATTACAGGGAGATATTCAGATTTTAAAAAGCCTTAACTCCATTATCTATGACAGTATCAAAACCTGATCATTAATTAAAATCAAATGGGCTATTTGCCATCAGTGACACACCTACTTTTTGGACGCTACACAGGTTGGAGAGTGAAACTAAGATGGTCAGTAGAGCTGAGGGACTGAATTATTATTATTTTTTATTCTGGGGGGCAGGGAGAGGGGGACGGGGAGGGGGAGAATTGGTTCGGTTCAATCCGTAACTGGGTTTTTTTTTGTGTGCACCAAAATGGAAAAAAAATTAAAACATTTATTTCTATCTGATACACAATGTTTTTGGTGATTTAGTTCTTTGGGTCATTTGGGAGGGTTGGGGTTCTCCCCTTTTTTTTTTTTTTTTTTTGTTCAAAAAAAAAATAGTGACATTTCTAAATGAAACACAGCTTTTTATGTTGGAAAGGCACTTCTTAAAAAAAGTTTCCAGCTGAATCTGTTAGCCAAATTTGATGTAAATTTGCTGATAGTTTTGAATGCCCTGAACAATGGATTTTTTGCAAAATTTACTATTTGCCAAAGAAAATTTCATCTGTCTCTACTGTCCTTTTGCATTGGCACGCTATAAGACAGTGTTTGACTTTCCAGCACTACAAAGGAAGGGTTAAATTGCAAATCCTGTTTCCGCTGCCATAAAACTGAAAGCAGTTCCATTCAGCACGTTCTTAACCCTTCTTTTTATTTATTTTATTTTTTGCAAAATCTTTATTTTGGGATCTGAATAGATATTGGCTCAAATTCACAACTGGCGGAAGTCACTGAAGGGACATTGGCTGTCAATGCATGATATTAGGCAGCATCAGCTAGCAGTATTTTAAAGGGAGTGGCTAAGAAGAGCCACCTTCTTTTCACACTGTTTTGTGTTGATCCTGGCTTGGTTTTGAGGCTTCTTAGGCACGACTGCCTTATTCATGGCCTTATTTTTTTTGTTTTCCAGGAATGGTGTGAATGTAGAAGGAGCAACGCACAAGCAGGTGGTGGACCTTATTCGAGCAGGAGAGAAGGAATTAATACTGACAGTGTTATCCGTTCCTCCCCATGAAGCTGATAACCTAGATCCCAGCGATGACTCTTTGGGGCAATCATTCTATGACTACACGGAAAAGCAAGCTGTGCCCATCTCCATTCCCACATACAAACATGTGGAGCAGAACGGCGAGAAGTTTGTGGTCAGTATTGGCTTGGTCATGTCTTGTTGAGTCCAGAATTGGTTGCTTCCTGACAATCCAATCATTAGAGTTGTCAGAAAGGCCTGCTTTTTAATCTGATCCTTCAATTCTAGTTGCCAGGCCTTCTCTCCCTCAACCCTAAAGAGGTAATACTGACCATATCTTGGAATTCCAATGCCCATAATTTCCTTTCATTTTAGTGCATGTAAAGGGTGATTAAGAGGCCTGTGTATGAAGGCCTCTGATTCACAGAGCATCATGAGTGCCAGCATCTCCACCCTCCCTCCCAAAATCATCATAACAGAGGAACTTCCTCAAGGGCCGAGGTGACCTTAGCTGCCATGGTTCGTTTGTTCCTTTGGCCACTATAGTATCTGCCAGTAAAGAAACCAATTAGTGTCCCTTATGGTGGTCTTTTGATGCCAACACATTCCTGTTGGGATCAGGATGGGACCAGTTCATTCAAGATATAGGGATGTTAAATTTAGATTAATTGGCTAATCAATCGTTCAGTCAATAAGAGCACCTCCGTCTTTGAAGTGTAGCAACAGCCCTATGGCTGTTGCTACACTTCAAAGGCAAAAGCAAATGCTCCCTGTGGCATTTCGAAGCAGCAGCGCCGCATGGAGCCCAGGGTCTAGCCCCGGGCTCCATGCGGCGCTGCCGCTTTGCAATACCGTTTCCCCCTCTCCTTGCTGCCTCTTTCTGATAGGCAGCGAAGAGAAGGGAGCGACTAGTGTGTCGACTATCCAATAAGTATTTGCGATACTCACAATTTTCAATGGTATGTTATTTACACTGGCCCCATACTTACTCTGTTTCTGAACTGGGTTATATCAGTTTCCAGCCAAAGTGGAGTAGCTCTTAGTAATGGGTCCCAGATAAATGGCCTTTGATAACACTTTCTATTCAGTGCCATCAGTTAGCTCCAACTTCTATATCCTGCTTTGTAGTAAGTGTCTAGAACATCTGTGATAGATACTGAAGAGGTCTGAGTGTTTATGAAAACCCCTCATGTTTGTGGCCCTGCACCTTAGCATGCTTCCCACGCCGCAGAGTGAAACTGGATTGAATGTGTCAGTTTCGCTCTGCTACCTTGCTGAGAATGTGCTGCATGTTTGAGCGATCCTTCCCTATGTTCAGGGACGGGGCCAAAGATTTCACACATTGGCATTAAGGTGGACTGATTTTTTTTTCCAGACACTGAACATCTGCCGCTCCCACTTAATTCAGTGAGAGCTATTAGCATGTTCAGCATTCCTAATAAGCTGGCAGTGTGTGTAATCCTCTGTGTGTTGTGTTTGTATATTTTTTTCCCTTTCTGTTCTCATTAGTTGGGGATCAAAAGTTCCACCTTTTTCCTGGTGACAGAGTTTCCCCCATCTGTGTTCACTGGGCGAGCTGGTGCTCATTCTTTCAAATATTTTGGTCCATGTTGAAATTGCTCCCTCAGCAATTGCATCCTCTGAGGCTTGTGATTGACTCTGGCTTATCCTGGGTGCCTAGCTACTGCTTGCGATAGGTTACACTAACTATTTTGCAGGTTTCCAATCAAGTTCCCTTCTTCCAGAGATGTAAAGAGGGGAAAACCAAATTTGAATTGTGGATGATAGGAACCTACTTCCCCTCCATTTGTTTAATTTTGAAAGAATGTAATTGCTACAGATGGCAGAATGAACTTTTAATTTTCTCCTTGTAGCAGTTAAACTTTACTTGCGCATCATTGCTGTTGGTTTGGATCAGTTGCGAAAAATCTGTTAGTCCCGTTCCCCCAGCCCCCAAAAGGCTGGTGTTGGCTGTTGCTGGTAGCTAGGCTGCATGTATTTACATCTAGCTTATCTTGCTAGCATTTGCTGTGCTTCGAACTGAGCACATTCACTGACTCTAGCAGATTTGAGGCTTATTCACAACAAATCCCCAGAGCAGTAAAAGCAGGGAGAGGGGTGGAATTGGTTTAAAATCACTTCTAGTCAGCATAGGGATGGTGTAAAAATGGCACCATCTTGCCAGACTTGGCTCCCTGTATGTCTGAATCGTGTCTGTGGATGTGACTAACACACATTTTCACTCCTGGTAGCACTTCAGAGTCCATATAGCCGTAGTCACCAAGCGGTCGATCGCGAGGCGTTCGAGCCCCCCGCCTCCGAGAAGCCCCACTACCTACCTCCAGCGAAAATGGAGGTAGTGCCGGCTTCCTGCGGGGTGGACGGAAGTCCTGCAGATTCACGCCACTTCCGGGTATTCCAGAAGTGTGCTGGCTGCTCTCCTCCAAAGTTCTTTGGCATGCCGGGAACTTCCCTAGGGGGCGTCCCCAAAGGAGGCGTGTGGGGGCTTCCCTGCGCCACAGGAGGGGTGAGAGTATTCCAGAAGCGTGCTGGCTGCTCTCCTCCAAAGTTCTTTGGCATGCCGGGAACTTCCCTAGGGGGCGTCCCCAAAGGAGGCGTGTGGGGGCTTCCCTGCGCCACAGGAGGGGTGAGTTGGCCCCAGAGGAGGCGCACGCTGGAGCTTCCCTGCGCCGCTGAAGAAGGAGTTGGCCCCGAAGAAGGCACGTGCAGGGGCTTCCCTCCTCTGCAGGGCAGGGTGGGGAGGAGGCTGAAGGAGGGGGCTCCCTGCCCCCACTGGCACCCTGTCCTCTCCCCTGGCACCCTCTTCCCTGTCCCCTGCTCCCACTGGCACCCTGTCCCCTGCTGCAGAACCCTGCTCCCACCCCAGCACCCACTAGCACCCTTCCCCAGTACCATGTCCCCTGATCTTGCCAGCATAGTTGGGGCCACGTTAGTGAGGCTTGGGGTTTTTTTTGGGAAGAGGGTGGGGTGTGTGTGGGGTGTTTTTTTTTTTTTTTAAATCTCCCTTGTGTGGCCCCAACTGACTTTTCTGTGGGTCAATGACCCCCTGACTCAAAACAGGTTCCCCGTCCTTCTCATAAATAAAGGCAATGCAGAAAATGTTTGTGTTTAACATAGTCTTTTATTTAAAAATGAAGCCTGGCCAAAAAAACCCAGTTGGGGCCAAGCCCCCATCTGGCCACAGCATTATAACACTCCTGCACCCCCCAGACCTTAGATCTGAGCCTATCACACACTGAAACCCCCTTCCCTGAGCCCCTCACATACTCCAACCCAAATTCCTGCATCCTCAGAGCCACGAGCATGTGGCTTGCTTAGTACCACAACCCTCCATCTGAACCCAACACTCCCCAGCCTGGAGCCCCCTCTCCGAGCCAGCATCCCCTTCTCCACCTCCTCCTGCATCCAGATTTCCTCCCAGAGCTTGCACCTCTCACCCCTTCCCACACCCAAATCCCTCATTTCCACCCCAGAGCCTACACATCCTGTCTCACCCCAGTGAGGGTACAGCTAGACTGCAGGAGTTTTTCCAGGATTCCAGAGATATCCTGGAAAAACTCTTCCGCATCCAGAGAGGCATTTGTTCTTCTGCTTTTTTTAGCGGAAGAGCAAACATGCTCTTTCGGTAACCCCTATATTCCTCGTTTCATGAGGAATAAGGGGGTGCCAAAAGAAGGTGTTTTTCTAACATTTGGTCCAGTCTAGACAGGCCAAATGTTGGAAAAACCTCTTCCTACATAAGAATTGGGGAAAAAAGTGACAGTGTAGAGTATGTAAGGGCAGGGCATAGCATGTTATGGAGAGGAGGAGAATAGAGAGGGCGGGGCTTCAAGGAGGGGCTGGGGTCTTGGGGGAAGAGTGGGGCAGTCGATCTTGGCTTGTTCTGAGATTTAAAGTCATCTTGGGTATAAAAAGGTTGGAGACCACTGCCATAGAGCTTTGCCAATGCACGTCAGTCCTCACCTACAGCATCTTCTGCTCTTTCCACTCTGGGGCCCATGCCTTTTTGCCAATGCGCCTCAGTCCTTGCAGAACCCTTCAGTTCTAGTGATACACCCACAAGCTTTGCTTGTTCGCTCCCACAGCTGCCATTCCAGTCTTGGTTTACGACCACCCTACTTTTGCTGCGCTGGGATCCCTGCAGGCTCTGCTGATGGACTTCAGTCCTGATCTCCAGTGCCATCTGACATGCTAGTCCCAGGCGGCTTTCGAACACACTTCCAATCGCTGCTGAATTGTGTGAGTGAGTGATGCTTTCGCGATGTGAGATCAAACTCATTCTCACTTCTGAGCCGCCCTGAAAGGGTCACACGGGAGAGCTTGTCCATTCCATGTTGCAGAGACCTACGGTCATAGTAATTTTAACATGAGCAAACAGAGATATGAGTGTTCCCAGGCACTGCTCCTGTAGAATTCATCTAGGCAGGGCATGTCTTAGAGGGCTCCCTCCAATCAGTGTTCCCTGTAAGTTGAGTGCTTGGGTGGCCGCCCAGGAGAGGTTAAGGTGCTGCCCAGCTGATTAGCCGAGCACGCACAGCCAGCAGCATTCGTTTCTACTGCTGGTGCATATCTGCCCATGCCTCTGGGCACATAACAAATTTTATTCTGCCAATGAATGGAAAAAATTAGGGAGTACACTGGCTCCCACCTGTTAGAATTTAAAGTGAGGAATCTATTACAAGTGGAATAATGTCTGGGAAGTGACATAAAGATTTAAAACTGTTGACTGGACCCTTGACCCTGTTTTTCATTTTTTGTTCCACACAAACCTGTGTCCAGTGGCCCCTCCTGCCAGACTGGGGGAAGGGCTTTTAGAAGTGGGTGGTGTTGCACCCACCCACCCTCCCTGTATTTCAAATAGAGACTAGATTAGGGCAAATTCATACTGAGAATTATCTCTTAATGGATTACCTGTCCCAAAGTGGCATTTTGGGCACCTTCCAGTGATGTGAATTAGCCAGGCCTCATCTTGGCCATTCTGCTGAGCTCCTTTGGATGGGTTTTGTATTCCCTGAATACTTCTGTAGTAAACCTATTGGAGTGTGTGTACTCCATCTGGTGGGGCCCATAGCCCTGCAGCCCTATTAGCCTTAGTGGTGATTTGCATAGCTGAGTGGTGCGTTGAGAAGATACCTGTTAGGTTTGAACCACAAGAGAAAAATCAGCAAAGAATCTGAAAGCAGAAAAGAAGAAATTCCATCTGGCCTTTGGTTTTTCGTAAGTGAGCATCAGAGACAGAAGCCAGCGTCAAGGGCAATATATGTCACCTCTCAAATAGGCATGCGATTCTCAAGAGAACAGTTACCAGTTACCAGCTTCAGGAATTGGTCCATAAACACTATTATGAAAATTCTCACCACACTGATTTCCAATGCTTAAATACTGAGACATGGAGACTCTGTTAAAAGCTGGTTAATTCATTATCTGGGGTGGGGGAGAAATGGTATAAAAAGTGAATTGGCCAGTTCACTGCCCAAATTGTGGTTTTCTTTCTCCATTTTGCCCATATCCTATCACCTTACACAAAACCTTCCCTTCACCTCCTAGTGACTAGAGAGCTGCTGTTTCACTTGCAGAGAACTGGCCATACAATTGCTGAAGGTCTTGAGGGGAGATGTTAGGGTTGGATCTTTTTGAGTAGAGTGGAAGGGCATGCAAGGCGTTTGTGCGCTGCTGAAGGGATTTTTAAAGTGAATTCAACTGGTGTTTAAATTGCTATGCCCAGATTGAAAGCTTGGCTGAACCGGAGCAATCCCGTCTGGGTGCTTTGCAGTTACAGTTTGGCGTGTAAGGAACTGACAGACAGATGATGAATTGGTTCCCGGTTTGCTACTTTTTCCCTTACAGCATAGAAAATGGAGGCATTTTCCCGTGGACAACATTACACAGTGTTACTGTTCCAGGAACCCAGCAGACACACAGAAGCCTCTGTGTTTGTGGGGAGGCGAGGACTAGAACTTGGTTTATCACCAAGAAGCAGAATTTGGTGTAAAGCTTATAACCTAGGACATGTACCATGTGCTTTTAAATGGAGCAAATTTGATCCTTCTGGAAACTAAGGATTCAGTGCAGTGGCCAGACATAGTGTGAACAGGGAGCGTGCAAGCTTCCCATATCACTGTCCCATTCTTTAGCCCCCGTGTTATTCCACTTCCAAGCTCCACGCCAGGCAGATCACTACCTAGCTATAGGATACGAGTGAAAGAGGATTGGAAACATGATTCTCCAGTGTAAGGAGAAGTCTTGCAGGGAAGCTGCAGCAGCTGTATCATTAGAGTCCTGCAAATCCATGGTTATCCACTTGATACCCACAGCACATTTTTGCAGATGTGGATACAGATTTTGTATCTATGCAGGGCTCTACATATCAGTGCTCTAGAAAGCTTTTAAAAAGGCTAGAATGAAATGAAGTCTTAAAAGAACTAGGACAATTGCAATGTGTGTTCTCAACTGGACAGAGGACAGCTCATACTTCCCTCACCTCCTTGTTCCCCCCCCTTAAGGGTTCTCTGCCATCATGTCGTGCAACGCTAGAAGGAATAAATATACGCTTTTGAGCATCTCAGGAGTTGTGCTTTGAAAAATCTCACTTTCAGGTGGTCACAGGCCAGCTATTCATATGACTAATGATGAAAACAAATTGATTTCCAATTCTGAGACCATGACCTGTACAGATCTTGGCAGCGAAGTGGGACTCAGAATTCTTTGGTTTTCCAAGAACTATTGAAGGTTCTTGTTTGTATCTTGTGTGATGCCTTGTGAAATACATCCTTCTCTCACCTGCCAGTGCTTTCAGCATTGGAGATTCAGAGATTTGATGTGTGACTTTGGAGAGATAGTTGCTGGTGCATGATTTTCTCTTACACATCAATAAAAAGGTGTAAGCATGTTTGTCTTTGGCACATTCCTTTTTTTCTATGAAGCTAATGAAGGCAGAGTCCCATCGTTTGGTGCCTCTTTATCATCGGGGACATATTAGTCCTGCCTAGACATCTGCCAAATTGATAAGAGCCTGGTTTGTTGCTTCAGTTTTTTATTTATGCTGTCTGGGTGGTAAGGCTGATTCTGAGTCCCTTGCTTATCTCTGGATTTAACAGTCTCCTTTGTGAAGAAAAAACAACTTGGCACGTGTAGTTTGTGAGACTAAGTGACCTTAAAGTTGGGGGCTGGCTGATGGTTGAATGGTGAAGACATTATCTTTAGATGTGCTAGATCTTTGAAAGATGCCCTGACGTGTTGGGTAAGCTCCTTTCTCTCCCTCCCCCACTCTAGATTTAGAGGGATAGCGGAGATAGTCTGTAACTGGAAAAACTTAAAAAACAACAAATAGTCTGTTAGTCTTTAAGGTGTTGCTAATCTAGATAGTTTTCCTTTCCTTTCCGATGTCAAATTCCTATCAGGGCACAGAAGCCAAATCCCATTTCCGGAATGACTTTGGGATGAAATCAGAGGGTGTGTGTGTGGCAAGGAAGTGAGTTGGACAACAGGGTGTTTCCAAAAGGTTTGAACCACTCTCCCTTGCACACTTGGCCGTTTCTGACAGCAGCAAGAGGCTCTGTTTAGTCAGAGGCTAAGCCTGATCTCTGATTGGAGGCGGTTTGTGTGCTCTAGATGAAGGTCTGTGGGTTAACGAAGGCCTCATGTAAAGGTCTTGTGTACTCTGAATCTAAATGTTGCAGCAAAGGCTGTGGATTTTTGTGGTCCTGTGATGCTGAATTCTGCAGCAGATTGGAAATTCAGCCACAGTTTTAATGCTATTTTGTGCATATGTATGTGTGTACATACGAGGGATGTTAAATTGCAGTTAATCAGCGTATCGAGTAGTTGATGGAATTTCCATCGACTACTCAATCAGTAGATGGGGGCACTCACTAGCCCTGCTGCGGTTCTGCAGTAAGAGCCGGGCACGCAGCGGCCTCTGGGCTCTTGCTACATTTAAAATGCAGAGCCACAGAAACCCGATGCCGGCGTCAACCGGGACTGCTTAGTTTTGGCTCACGCTGGCCCTGGAAGCTATGGCTGCGGCTCTGCATTTAAATGTAGTAAGAGCCGCTGGATGCTGCGGCTGTACCCACCCACCCCCTACACGGTGGAGACGGTGCTGCGGGGAACTGGCTTTTAAGCTGGCTCCTCCCAGCACTTGTTCCTGCTCTTCTCGAGTAGTCAACTTCTCCCTTATATCCCTAGTACATACCCATGGTGTGCTGAGTTACTGGCTATGAAAACAATTGATCTAATCAGCGATCTAATCTATTTCTTATTTGACGTTCAGTTCATGATACCTTCAAAGTTTCTTCATTGTAGAATATCAGGGTGCAAGTTGGACGCTGCGGCATCTAGGTTGTTCAGTTGGGGAGTTTGGAAAGAGAGGTAGGGCGCATCTTTCTACTTTTTGCAGGTAAAAGGCAGCTTCAATTTCAGCAACCCTCTTCCTTTTGCAAGCTTTTTCTCTGCCCCCACCCCGTCTCTTGCTGTGCCAAATAGTGATGATTGGGATTATTAGTTGGTGTATTTCTCTGGCCAAATGATTGGCTGTGACACAGGGAACAGTTTAAATGGCTGGCATCTTTTTTAACCTATCATTAAGCTTCAAGTCAGCACCCCATTGAGATGACTGAGGCAATCTACAACTCTCAGCTAATTTCAGGCTATCTACAGACTGGGGAAAGCAGCACTGCTTCTGTTTACATTTGGAAAGCTTTTTATTACCCTAGACAACTTTCCTGTGTTCTCTTCCTTCTGCATCCTGCTAGGTTTACAACGTTTACATGGCAGGCAGGCAGCTGTGTTCAAAGAGGTACCGGGAGTTCGCCATCCTCCACCAGAACCTGAAGCGGGAGTTTGCCAATTTCACCTTTCCACGCCTGCCGGGAAAATGGCCTTTCTCTTTATCAGAGCAGCAGTTGGATGCCAGGCGCCGAGGGCTGGAGGAGTACCTAGAGAAAGGTAAAGAAGGGCAGCAGGTTAATGGGCAACAGGTTTAAAACAAAAGGAAGCTCTTCTTCACACAGCGCACAGTCAACCTGTGGAACTCCTTGCCTGAGGAGGTTGTGAAGGCTAGGACTAGAACAGGATTTAAAAGAGAACTAGATAAATTCATGGAAGTTAAGTCCATTAATGGCTATTAGCCAGGATGGGTAAGGAATGGTGTCCCTAGCCTCTGTTTGTCAGAGGGTGGAGATGGATGGCAGGGGAGAGATGGCTTGATCATTTCCTGTTCGATTCACTCCCTCTGGGGCACCTGGCATTGGCCGCTGTCGGCAGACAGGATACTGGGCTGGATGGACCTTTGGTCTGACCCAGTCTGGCCATTCTTATGTTTTTATGGCCAAAAGCAGAAGCCTAGTGCGATGTTGAAGCTGTCAGATCCCAAGCAGGAGAAAGATAGTCTTACGGGGATGGCGGGGAAAGGCTCGTTTGAAACCAGATTGGATTTTCCAAGTGAAACACTGCAATAAAAGCCAAACTTTTATGACTCGTGTTATTGGCTTGTTGAGCGCTTATAGCAACAAAACGGTTTTTAATGCATGATGGGCCATTATTTATAGTGTTGTGTTGCTTGCTGGTAAACAGGGATGTTGAATAGAGCAGAGAGAAGAGAGAGATGGGAAAACTTCTTATTGTGGAGAGAGTAGTTCTTCTTATCTTTTTCTTAGGGAAACCCACCCAGACTGCAGAAACTTGACCCTGCCACTCCTGTATGTTCTAGAGCAGTGTTCCTCAACTTTTTTTTTATGAAGTACCCCTTTAAAAAAAAAAGTTTTAAGTACCCCCAGTACCCACAGTTTTCTCTCACACAATTTTTTCTACCATTGCAACACATTTGTTTATTGTAGCCGGGCGGGGAGTGAAATTTGTGGGTGTAAAAAGTACAAAAATAATAAAGCACTGTAAAATTTAAAACAAAAATTCAGTTTTCTCCAAATTTCAGTTGTGTTGCCGTTACCCCCCTGACTTCTCTCGAGTATCCCTAAGGGAACTCCTACCACTGGTTGAGAACACGGGTCTAGAGCAGGGCTGGGCAGACCAGGGTTAGCCCCTGGCAGGCCACCAGCACTTTATTTACCTGTTGTGACGTAGTGGGGGTACTTGCTGGGCTGTGGTGACCCCTGCTGTCTGGAGCAAGACCCAGCAGGGAAAACCTCGCTAGGCAGAGGTGAGGCCAAACTGGTTGAACCAGTGGCCAGACACCCCCCATGGAGAGGAACAAAGGAAGGTGGAATGCGGCCCTGACTGTGGGGGCAGGGCTGCAAAGGAAATTGAGTTGGTTGGTGGCTGTCTGTGAGGATGGATGAGACAGCCTAGGGAGAGGAGCTGGAGTTTTAGGGGCCCAGTCTCCCCCATCTCAAGGGGGCCTGAGGCATCCTAGCCCAGTTCCTGTAACCAGATTACATCTGTGCTGCGCTGTGCTGGAGGAGCAATAAACCACCCTCAATTCCACTGGCTGGTGCAGTCTGTTTGTGCCATTTCGGGGTGCAGGAGACGGGGAACCCCCAACGCGCCGTCACACTGGTGTCAGAAGTGGGATGCACCGCACCCCGTGGATGAAGCCCCCAGCGGCAAGCGACAAGGCGCAGTAGAAGCAAGAGCCCTGGAGCCAGGCGTGCAACCCGCCTCTGGCTTATTGCCTTCCCATTCTAGAGAATGGGAGCATTTCTCTGTGGTGGAGTCTCCTATGGCTCCAGTTGCTTATGCTGACTGGGCAGCAAAGCTGCCTCTAAATCCCCTTCCTTATCTGTGGACCTCAAAAGTATTGCTAGAAAGACCATGCCCCACATGTGCTGATCAAGGCATTTTAAATGAAGCTCAGTAGGAAGGCATTTTCACCCCCTGTTATAGCCCTGTACTTTGCTTGCCTCGAAGCAGCAGGGATTGGCTGTTGCTGGGTGAGATGAACCATGTGCGTGTGTGCGTGCTTGCTTGTGCCAGGTGCCAGTTTGGGAAGCCAGAGTAGAGCGGGCACAGCATGGGTATGAGCACAGCAAGCTTCCCCCACACATGGCTGATATCTCAGCCCTGCTTCCTTCCCATGGCCCATTATTCCTTTCTTGAAGGACTTAACAGGGCTCTCCTCAGCCGTGTCTGTTGGCGTTATGGCCTCTTTCCC